ACGTTGCTCTCTCTCTCTCTTTCTCTCTCCCCATACCACTTCCGACTCTCTCGCGCATAATATATTTTGGAGGATTTATGACGTAGTAACCTCATGAAACAATCTCCATCTTTCAGCAGGCATTCAGAAAACCAGCTTAATTATGTAATGCGCGACGAATATATGTGCGCTTACATTTCTTTCACTCCTTTCAACTTGCGCCTCGCTTCCGTCGCTACGAGCAACATGGTGCCACCGATTCCAATGTTTTTTTTGGCCTGTCTTGACAGCCACCGTCGACAGTTTTAGATAAACTTAATTCAAGCTAGCCATGACAAACGCTGGTAATGCGCTAACATTTTCAATTTCGACGAACAACTTAAAAGTCGGCAGTAGAATAGCAATCTTTTTAATTATATCGCACGATGGCAAATTCCGATTTGTTCATTTGGGAAATGGAATTGTCGGAGTAGCAGTAGCTTTGTCCGTGAGATTGTTGAGTAATTATAATCACGTCAACTGCCACGGTACTAGCAGTGATTCCACCAAGAATTCTGCAAAAGTTCCAATTTGTCAGCATCGCAAAAACTGTAGCAGATTAAGTTTATAATAATTTAATATACTAAGATAAATATAACAAGATGTATTAGAGTGTTATCGTAACGCTGCCAAAAGGTCTCGAACGATACCAGAATATGTAAGCGTAAGCGAATAGCAGCAAGCCTACGTACGTGTGGCTGAGGAATGATGCAGACTCGGTGGATTCGTCTATGTTGCCACCGAGAGAGCTGTAGCGCGCGATAGTACAGCAAACTGTCTGAAAATGGCGGCCATATTGAATTTAATGACATAGGACTCCTATGAACTCGATTTTTTAAACACCCGGCTGTAAGTCACTTAAATTCATATTAGATTAACCTTCATTCAACTTAAAAAGTCACAATGAAATAAGATTTTTTTTTTTCATGATGAGTGTGATGGAGATATTTGGTGTATGCCTACTATTTGAAAGGTTATTTCGCTGGTTTCTGCTGGGACTATCATGGCGCTGCCCGAAGTCAAACGTCGCGAACTAAGTTGAATTGGCGAGACAGAAACACAATGCTCAGTGTACGCATCCCTACCATCTGCCCAATCCTTCATCACTTCGTTTAAGGACAGATGATTTCCGCATTTCCTAAATCTGGCGCCGTATTCTATTAGCATAGCTAACCACAGGATAAAAAACCGGTGAAGACTTTTAGCACAACAAATGAACACTATAACATAGTCAAAAAAATGAGGGGAAAGAGATGGGGTGGCTTACAGCTTATTTTAAAAGCACTGCGGATTTTTAACCATAATAAATTCGAACTCGTAGGGAAATTAGGAATTGCGTGACGCTGTTTGAGTGCTACCTTCGGCAGTGTTTGCATCTACACCGACTTTCGCGTGGGCCGCTAAAACTCTTGCGTGCACTCTCAGAAACTCATTCGTAATGACGAAAACATTTCACTACAAGTACCACAAAAACCTAGAGAATCGGTTCTAATAGCGCCTGCCATTTCAACGCTACTGCGCAGCATCGACAGATGGCGCTGCCGGCGCAGTACGGGTAACAATAAAACCAGAAATGCCGCCGACGTGACTCATCCAGCAATCACAAGCAACGTGTGGTAGCCGCGAGGCAGGAATGTCTGGTGCTACACGACATCCGACACTCGCAGCCCACATTGTTAGCATGCGGCGGGAAGTGGGGGGGGGGGAGGAAGAGGCTTAAAAGCAAATTCACGCAACCCGATTCTGTAGCTAAAAGCACGAATATCGCGTGAATTCGCCCCCGCGCCATCTTCAGATATAGACTTGTTGGCGTTCGCTGTTTTTTTTCTGAACAGGCTACGAAGCAAGATTTTAAAGAGTGCGCTCGTACGAACGCACTGCCAAAAGCAAGGAAACGATTTTTTCGTGTGGGGGACGGTGTTCACATGGAAGATTTTCGACCAGACCAGTATATGCAGTGGTTTCCCTCCCAGTAGTTGGGGAAAATCCAATAAAAAGGATCACTGTGTAATGGTCCTATCGCCGTTTTTTCACGGTGCGCAAAAACAAGAAAAAAAGTTGTGGCGGGCTCAAATGTGTTTGGCGCGGCGCACCACCAGTTGTTATATAATGTATACATTTAAATTATAATGCAAATTTCAAAATATTAAAATGAAAAAAAACGTTTTTTGACATTTGTGGCCTTTTATTGTCGCTGGAATCAAAGTACATCAACACCACGAAAAATTTAGTAATTTCTTGATGTAAATTTTAAAATATGGCTGAAAATGTTACGACCGGACTCTGGACACCGGCTGCGTTTACACTATCGATATTTTGTCAGGCAAACGTAGCGATTTCAAGTGGCATTCCAACTTCCCCGACTGGACCAAAGTGCATTCCAACATATCGGCTGAAATTCGATTGTGTTGGAGTCGGAGTCGAAGATCAAGTCGCTGAGTTGGAAAAAGAACATCTGTTCAATTTTGGCACGACTCGGACGGTTTTTGCTGACAAAATCAGTAGTGTAAACGCAGCTCCGGAAATGCGCGCGCGCGCGGTACGTGGACGTCAATCTAGATGAACGATCTATTGTGGAGTAGTCGGCGTGGAAGAATGCGGTGTTATCGCTATGAATTATTGTTTTGTTATTGATGTAAGTATGGCGACAATCGGGGCTGCCTCCACAATGAACACGATTATCGCCACAGATGAATTATGAAGTGTATCTGCTCTGATTCGCCTCGCAATATGAGTTCGTAGACGATATTTCATTATTGCGATTATAAAAATTGCGTTGTTATTTATTAGGAAACAAATTACACTCGTAAGATAGAGGCGAGTTTTATTTAAAAGGTGATACAGCAGTATGTGCACACTACCCGTAGCTCAACGTGTTAGAATATTGATCTAGCTCACTATAAATATTTATTGCATCAAGCTCTTTCTCTATATCAACTTATATTAGTGTTAGAACATACTGTATCTCTCTATAGCTCAGTGTTAGAACATACTGTATCTCTCTATAGCGCAGTGTTAGAACATACTGTATCTCTCTATAGCTCAGTGTTAGAACATACTGTATCTTTCTATAGCTCAGTGTTAGAACATACTGTATCTCTCTATAGCTTAGTGTTAGAACATACTGTATCTCTCTATAGCTCAGTGTTAGAACATACTGTATCCTCTCATGCATTAGTGTTAGAACATACTGTATCTTCTCTATAAATTAGTGTTAGAACATACTGTATCTCTCTATAGCTCGCGACATGTTAAACATACTGTATCTCTCTATAGCTTAGTGTTAGAACATACTGTATCTCTCTATAGCTCAGTGTTAGAACTGGGTGAGGCCGGGATGCTGGGGATGAGGCCGGAATGCTGGGGATGAGGTCTCGGGATCGCGCGTGCTGGGTCTGGAATGATCGGCATGCGGGATGCGGCGATGCTGCGTGCGATATGGACTGCTGGGGATGAGGCTCGGGTGCTGGGGATGAGGCGGGTGCTGGGGATGAGGCCGGGATGCTGGGATGAGCCGGAGATGCTGGGGACTGGAGGCCGGATGCGGGGGATGAGGCCGATGTGTCGGGATGAGCGCGAGGATTGGGGATGAGGCCGATGCTGGGGATGAGGCCGGGCTGGATAGCGGGATGTGGTGATGAGGAGGACTGATTGGGCGATGACTGGGATGAGCCGGATGCTGGGATAGGAGTGCGGGGATGGCCAGATGCTGGAATGAGGCCGGGATCGGAGAGCCAGCGATGCTGGGATGAGGACCGGGATGCTGGGGATGAGGGCGGGATGCTGGGGATGAGGCCGGGGCATGGGCTATGAGGCCGGGATGACTGCGGCAATGAGGACCTGGGATGCGTGGATGAGCACGCGCGCATGGCTGGGGATGAGCGGGTGCTGGGGATGAGGCGAACGGATAGGCGATGGGGATGAGGCCGGGATGCTGAGTGATGAGCCGGGAGTGCTGGGGATGAGGCCGGAATGTGGGGAGAGGACTGCTGGGATGTGGCGGAGGATGCGGGGAGTGGATGAGACCGGATGCTGGGGATGAGGCCGGGATGCTAGGGGATGAGGCCGGATGCTGGAGGGATGCAGGCGGATGCTGGGGATGAGGCCGGGATGCTGGGGATGAGGCCGGGATGCTGGGGATGAGCAGGGATGGCCTGGGGATGAGCGGGATGCTGGGGATGAGGGCCGGGTCTTAGGGGGTGAGCAGCGATGCTGGGATGAGCAGCGAATGCTGGGGATGAGGCCGGGATGCTGGGGATGAGGCCGGGATGCTGGGGATGAGGCCGGGATGCTGGGGATGAGGCCGGGATGCTGGGGATGAGGCAGCGGGGGCGTGAGCGTCACGTAGAGAGTCGCCGACGGCACATCGTAATTATAGTGTTTCCGCATCGCTTCATCTCGCTTCCCTTCTAACACATCAAACCCGCGCGAGGTAAGAGCAGCTGGAGCCTCTAATCCAAGATGGCGGCGAGCGCGTTCCTCGTCTGTAGCCGCGTCATCTGCTAAAAGACTGACGCACGGGTTCCAGGCGCTGCAGTTAAATAGCAACAAGTCACCGCCGCTATAATTGTTATTCTGCAGATTCATCCCCCGGTCCGCTTAATTGAGAGATGTCTTCCTTGAATATTGTATACCTTAATTGATTTATATCTGATTAGAATGATGACTTGATTGATTGATGGCTCGGTTGACCGATGGGCTGTATACCAGGTTGTTAAGTCGCTCAGTGATCGTTGGTGGTTTCGTGCGTCGTGGAATTTGGCTTCTCCTGCTGTTCAGATGATTGATTATCTGATTGATTTATGCATTACATTTGTCATCAATCAGAAAGCAACTCGACTGTGACTTTAGCGGCTTGTGGCGTCTCTCCCCCCCCCTTCTCTCTCTCTCTCTCTCTCTCGCTTTCTCTCTTTCTCCTCTCCCCCTCTCTGTCTCCATCCCTCCACATCCCTTATGTTCATTCTTCTCTCGTTCACGCGCAGACACGAAGAACTGCAAGGAGTGCGACGAAGCGCTGAGAGAGCTCGAGTACATCGATGACGACCTGGACAAGTACGGCATCGAAATGATCAAAATCAACAACATCGAGGTGGCCGCTGAGCACGGGGTTACTACCTTTCCAACCCTCATCTTCTGGCGTCGCGAGGATCCCATCCTCTACGAAGGTAAAGCTCATAGCTTATAGCTACTATATTATATATATTATAGCTTACTCAAGCGCTCAGCTTACAGCGCTTAAATATATATGTATATCTATCAAGAGTCCATAATAGAAGACTATAGATTTATCTTAGATAGATCTTATTTATATCTATATATAGCTATATGTATATATATATATATATATATACATATAGCTCATATTCACATGAATAACCTGCGGTAGACTGTGTTAAACCGCAGTTTAGCCGTGTATTTTAATGTGTGTTGTGCTAACATGTGGTGTAAGTGTTGGTAACGTGTGGACTAAAGCACAACGCACACACCCGAGCAAAACACCTGAACGTGGAGCAAAACATGTTTCGCTCGATGTTCGTGGCTGTGTGCGGATTCCCGAAACAAAAAACATTGCTCAGCTAAGCGTGTTTTCGCTGAACAAGCAATGTTTGATTCGCGGAGCGTGTTTTCGCGCTGAGCGTACGTTTTGCTCGGTGTGTGCGTCAATCGTTCTGCTACACAGCGAAACGCCACAAGACGGTCTCCAATCAATATCCGTAAAAATGATTACATGACACACAAAATTGGATGTCCATTGATGGCTATTTTTGATGTCATGTGACAGCGGCGCTGTACGCAGTGTTTCTGTATGTTTGCTCAGCTGTGTGCGCTTGCTCGCCGAGCAGAAACGCGAAACGCTGGAAAAACAAAATTTCCCGTTTTGCTCGGTGTGTGCGCTAGGCTTAGGTGCGCTAGGCTTAGGTGTGCCGCTAGGCTTAGGTGCGGCTAGCTTAGGTTAACCGAGATATAAAATTGTGTGAGCGAATATATATATATATATATATATATATTAATATTATATTATATATAATTAGCAGGTAAAAAACACGCTATAGAATAAGATATATGAAATATGAATCTTAAAAAATAGGTAAGAATTTTTTGTAATAAAATAATGTGTGTGCGTGTGATATGATATTTGGGCTATTGCGTGTATTATGTGAAGAACTACACGCACGAATGCGTTTTTCCCTGCGCTTGTTGCAATATGCAGCAACCTGGCAGTGTATTCGAGTGATCAGTATTATCCTTGTTTCATACAATGACATTTTCATCACATATATAAACATAACTTCTCCGCAAGCTCGCGCCATATCTACATGCACTTGAGTCGCTAGTCCGACCAAACGTCACGGCGTTACGAAATTAAACAATAATTTTAGGCAAATGCTTTTGCCCACCGTCTAGATTTATTCCATACGCGGCAGCCCCAATGCTAAAATTTCCAATTAAAATTTTTCGCTTCTGACGCGTGCCCGAAAACTGTGACGTCCTTCTCTTTCGATCGTGAAAATAAAAGCGCAGTCTAATGCGAGGGAGGAGGGGCAGGCTATTATCCTAATTAATAAATAACCTAATCTCTACCGTGGCGGAGCCTGGCAGTATTGATAATGCCTGTCCAGTCGGATTGCGTGTCGCAAGTTCGTATTAGCGTGTACTGATGCTAAGCATCGGTTCACACGAGGACCTCGTATATTATGAAATACGGTATGTTTGCGAAAATACCGAATCTGAGACAAAAGGTGCGTTCACACTGGCCGGAATTATGGGATGCAACTCTCGGTTTTTGCATCCCGCTCGAAATACCGAGATTTTTACAAGTGTGAACGCAATATCTCACTAAGATCGACGCTCTAAATAGCGCGCTCCAAATCGCACTTACCGACTGCGCTATTTGGAATTAGCGCGATTTGCACGGGCGGGGCGATGTTATCGCGCTCGGGGATTAGGCGAGATATGTTCTTGCTGTGTAACAACGACACTAATTAATCTCACTATTATCTCCGCTATTAGCGGGATGAGCATCGCGGTTTTTCTTGGTGTGTGAAACGAGGGGTGCGGTCGCTCCTTTAAATACGCGACCAGAGCGTTGACACACGCTGATTCGCGGCTCCAGAAATACGGTATTTGCGAGGCTGGGCGAGTTTGCTTAGAACAAATAAACAATGTGAATAAACAATGCAATGCGCACGCAACTGGCCGAATAAAGATACGTAGACTGGTCGCGCGCTCGACAAGTTCCACTCGCATTACACTCGGAACTGTGCGAGCGCGGATAAGACAGTCTGTAAAATAAGTCGGCTTCAGAAATACCGGTATTTAGCGCGTTCACGACGAGGAAATGCGCGTCCAAGAGATCCGGTAATTCTCTCAAGGCACGGACAAACTTATTCGGGGTCCTGGGAAGCGCGTAATTTACATCAAATACCGATCTGTTTAGATACCGTATTTCTTGGACCGCGCATTTTCCCTCGTGTGAACGCTAAATACCGGATTTCTTGCTGGGATTTCGTGTGAACGCGGCTGCTATTACGAGCTATTTTTGCGTGCGTAACTATTTGTAGCGGCAGCGTGCATCGACGCACTCGCGCTTTTTCTTTGAAACAACGACTCCACCGGCTTGCGCATGTAGACTACGGGGCACATGTCAGCACTGCTCGCGTCTCGTGCGTGCGTTTACTGACTTTGCGCAGACGAATTCGGGATAGTGCTCACTCACTCACGTACGCCGATGTAGTATAATATACATCTCCATTATGACCAATACCCCCCTTTTACATTGCGCATGGGCAATATCTATATCTGCCCTGGTAGACACGCCCATTTCATTGCGTAATGTAGATGGGGCGTTTATCAATGGGAGGGTGGCTACGATGCAACACCGGTCCCGCGTCCTTACCACGCGGGTCAGCATGCGGACAGCAGCAGCCACACAGTGACGTCATAGATGCTGTTGACGGACAGATAGATGTGTGCGATTAGGTCATACTCATTAATGATAACCGATGCTAATGCACGCTACTCACCCCACATTATGGTAGGTATGTGCCACTGCGAAGTCAAAAATGAGGGGCTCTGGAACTAATGTTTGTTGAATGTGGTATGCTCTGGAACGAGATATTCTTAAAAATGCGATGCACTGAAATGAAAGTTTAGGGTGAAAACGGGGGGTCTATCCCGCGGCACATACCTACCATGCAATATATATGGAGTGCCCCCCCCCACGGGGCTACTTCTCTCTGCGTATCGTATTCGCGTTGTTGACATATTTCCTGCTTCACCTGATTGTTCGTACAATTTGTTTTTTACCTACGCTATGTAAAACCAGACGTCACGCCACCCAGTAAGTATGTAAACTGTTTTTCACTGGGTTTTCTCGCACCTTTTCGTCGCGGGTTGTGAACGAGACGGAGCCGAATTTTTTAATTCACCCGGCTGTGGACACGATGGCGCTGGCCACGACGTCTATAATAATATAGCATCTAACAATGCGAAATATATATCTACATATCCTCTATTATATATTATATATATATAATATATTATATATATATATATATATATATATATATACATATATATATATAATTATATATATATAATAATATATATATATATGTATATGTATAGGCAGCTACCAGTCGAGCGATATTGGAGTCGCAGTGGCAGCGCCGATGATAAACTGTGTATGCATAGTTGTAATGTCTGACAGGCGTACGTCTGTGTGCGTGGCGGCTATGCTTGAAACCACGACTATAACCCGGTAAACTCGTCTGCCAGTTAGTAGTTAGTACTGTCAGTCGCTAGCTCTTGCTCACGTATGGCGAAACGTTATAGCACGTAAACATGGATACCGTCTCAGCGTCCACAATGTGTGTATTGAGCATTAGTTCAGCCGCCAGTGAATAGATTTAGTGTGTGCGCATGGCTCCGATATGAAAGCATTGATCAATATTCATAATTCTGCATAACTAGGCAAATTCGAATGACCGCGAAGTTTTTGATTGGCTGATCACGCACCAAGAACAGCTACGTCAAGGTGGCTCACAGACGATAACTTCGAGAGAGTGACACAGCGCAGAGTGGCGCCACCACCGGAGATTGGTTTGTTCTCTGTGAGTATATACGCTATCAATTAGTTACGGGTGTTTAAGTTTAATAAATGATATCGGATTATTAGGATGGTTACTGTTGGCAGCGGATGGAATCTTTATCCGAAAGTCAAATCATCGTTCCGCGTTTTCCCTGGTCGATTTATTTCTCTCGCGATGTAATGTTGATGTGGGGGGTGTGGGGGGATCGCAACAGCTATATATGGAAATCACCACGATATGTTTATATTTTTTAAAGCCGCCGGCGCCCTATTATGTGAACGGCACGTGAATGCGTATAGTATTGCAACGTAAGGCGTAGCATAGCATCACGAATATACCACATCAGCTGCGTCAGACATATTGAATGACAATGACTTGAAGCGAAAGGAAAAAATATTTGTTTTTCGTAAAACAGGACCGCCGTTAATAAATAAAGAAATCAGATGGTAATCGGATCCATCCATACCCCTTCATCCATCCATCCATCTATCCATCCATCCATCCATCCATCCATCCAATCCATTCCATCCATCCATCCATCCATACCATCCATCCATCCATCCATCCATCCATACCATACCATCCATCCATCACCATGCCATCCATCCATGACATCATCCATCCATCCATCCATCATCCATCACGCATCCATCCATCCATCCATCCATCCATCCCATCCATCCATCCATCTATTCATAATCCATCATCCATCCATCCATCCATGCCATCCATCTATTCATCTCATCCATCCATCCGCGTCCGTTCCATCGCATCCATCCATCCATCGCATCCACCATCCATCCATCCATCATCCATCATCCATCATCCATCCATCCTCCATCCATCCATCCATCATCCATCCATCCATCATCATCCATCATCCATCCATCCATCCATCCATCCATCCATCCATCACATCCATCCATCATCCATCCATCATCCATCCATCCATCCATCCATCCATCCATCTCATCCATCTCCATCATCCATCCATCCCATTCCATCCATCCATCCATCCATTCCATCCATCGCATCCATCCATCCATTCATCAATCCATCCATCCATCTATCCA